ATAAGTTGAGCTTTTGTTTTTCTCCATGGATATTTCTAAGAAAATATGTTTTCTTACAGTTTTCTATATAATTTCATACTCTTCCCTCTATGTACTGACTACAAGAAACAATAAGCTAAATGAGCCAAAGTGAATACTAGTGAAAAGGAAAAAAAATTCAAGTGGTGGTTCATAAACTATTAGGGTCAAAATTCTGCATTTACACATTTATACTTTATTTTTAAAAATTGTAACTGAATTGATAACATAATGAGAAATTATCTGTTAATGCATTATGCATGTGTATACAGATATATAACTACATATACATATTTGTATCTACGTGTAAATATATATATAGTTGATTCTTATTATTACAGATTCTGTGTGAATTCACCTCTTGTTTGAATGTATTTGAAACCTTAAAATCAATACCCTAGTATTGTCACCATCAGTGGACATGTGCAGAGCAGAAAAAAAAAATTGAGGTGCCTAACACATATGTCCCCAGCTGAGTTTAGACAAGGTGAAGCTCTACCTTTAGGTGTCATCTCCTATATGACTCAATCAATATCCCTTTTTGTGATCTATTTAATGTCCTGTTCTCATTTCATTGTTGTTGGTGGTATGATGATGGGGACTGTTGAAGATAGCCCCCAATCATGCTATGGAAATGCTGTCCAGGTTCCTAAACACTAGGCTGTGATCTATTTTACAAGGTAAATAAGTGTGACAGTTAAGCTGCCCATAGGTGTAAGTTATAGCCACTTTGCTGGTGAGTTCAATATTAAGGAATTAAAAATACTATACATCCAGAAAACAGAACAGAGGTTTACCAGTTATAGCCACTTTGCTGGTGAGTTCAATATTAAGGAGTTAAAAATACTGTACATCCAGAAAACAGAACAGAGGTTTACCAGTATGTGTATGAGGCTGATTCTACAAGTGCTCTAGTGACATCTAAAGCATTCAATGAAACTAAGTAAAAGACAGAAAAGTGAAACAATTTGTGAATTCAAGGGATTATGAGGCATTAAAAAAGTTTAATGGGTAGCAGGTTGTGAGGGTGAAATCCAAAGGAATCTATAGACACATCACCCAGGGTCAAGGAAATGTCAAACACTTCTCAGCTAGTGTTTCACTACAATGAGATCCTACATGAAATTCATTATTTGTAAGAACTAGTTAGTAAAATGTGTCTTTGAACAGAAAGACCATACAGATTATCTATTACCTGGTTATTGAAAGTGTGATGAGAGGCTGAAGAGCAACTTGATGCTGTGGTTCAGAATATATTAATGCAATGTGTGCAGTGACGTCACAGAACATAACTGCAGCAAATAATAAAAATAGGCTATAGGCTATATCTATACTTACACTGCAATTCTTTCTTGAATGCATAGTGCAAAATCACTTTCGGCTAGGAAAATATAAGTAAATGCACATGAATGTTTATTACATCATTAATATGTTTCAGAAAATGTTTATTGAGAGAAAAAGTTAATTGAATTATGGCACTGCTATAATATTCAATGCCATAGTCATTTTTAAAGTGAAAAAGTCCATAAGTCAGAATTTGGAGAATTGCCTTCATTATTAGCTAAGTAGCTGGAAAACTGCAGAACAGAATTTATTATATGATCTATTGTTTATTTAAAATAACTGTACATATAGTCTCCAGTATATAAAAACCTGAAGATACACTCACTAATTAACTCTACTGAGTGAGAGAGAGAGAGAGAGGAGAGAACAGAAGCATTTTACAGTCTTAGAGTTCTATACAATTAATGGTATTGTTTCAATTTAAAACATATATATTTATCAAAAGAGAATTATCTTGAGATATGCAATAATTTTAACTGATGCCTTGATGCATTTTAACTGATACATAGGCATCACGCACGATTTCATATACAGTAAACACCTACAGAAATTTTGTGATTGGCAAATTTTTCTAAGCATAACCACAAATGTGTTAAGGGAAATAAAAATGTTTTGTACGTGAAATCAAATTATAATTCTGTCCTACCTTCCAAAAGGACAAAGAAGAAAAAAATTAGAGACAAAAGTACACCTAATAAACAGGTGATGAAGGTATACAGAGATGGAAAAAAATGCATCAAAGACATCTTGAAGCAATAAAATTTCAGGAAGGAGTATTTCAGAGGTCAGACAAAGCTGACTTTCTGAAGCCACATTTGCCAAGAGCCACCAACTATTTCTGGCCAAGAGGGAAGATTTTCCTGCACAAAGCCAATTCTGAGGGTCAGAAAACAGAGATGTTGGGATTGTGGCAGAACATAAAAGACAAAAGTAAGCAACTAAAAGATCTCATTCTGGGTGAGAAAGGAGGAACAGAGACCTGACACTGATGATGTGTTAGTTTTCAGAGGAGACATTTGCTAAACTCTCAGACATCATGGAATGGGGAGCAAAAGAGTATGCAGAGAGCATTTGAAAAATAAGAGAGAGTTCTGGGCAGTCTTTGTTTCCTTGACACCATGTCTCACAATTGAAAGCCTGAGCAGATCAAGCCATAAGTGAGTTCAAAAGTGCCACTGGTCAATAAAGTGATAGAATAAGCTTCAACTCGGAGTTTTCATTAGATCAACGTAAAAATCCTATAGGGTGCTTATCACAGAGGAAGAAGTGAATTATCACTGGAGGAAAATATGACTTCATCTGGTCTTCATAATTTTTCAAAATAATGTTAAATACTCAATAAGAAATTAGTAGACATGGCAAGAAACAGGAACATGAGTTCAATAGCAAGGAGAAAACCAGATGAAACAGACCTACCCACAGTTGTAAATAGCAGTGAGGGCTTTGAAAATAACAATGTTTAATGCATTCAAGGAATTAGAGGATTGGGTGATAAATAAATTTATTCATTTTAAAAACCAAAGAGATGAGAAATTTTACCAAACAAAATATAGTAAAAGTTAAAATTAAAATAAAAAGAGACCAATAGGAAGAATGGGCAGATGGACATTAGAAAATGCTAATGCACAGAGCCAAACCTAATAATTCGGTAAAGCAGAATTACAGAGTAGAAGAAAAGATTATGGATCTACACTAAAGGTTAGCAGAAAATAACAAACCTGAGACTTTCAGGTATGATGCCTTACTAGGAAAGGAAGAGTTTCATGGTGACAAAAAGATCAATCAGCAAGAAAGAACCCTTAACTTTAGATCTTTATGCACTCAATAAAATTAAGTGTTTAACTACCCATAGCTTAAAAATAAACAAATCAAAGAAATCAGCAGCTCTAACAGGAGAAACAGGCTAATCCACATTTGTAATGGAACATTTTAACACACATCTATGAAAAGCTGAAAATGCAAGCAGACAACTCTAAGGAAAGACATATAAAATCACCTGAAATGAAAAACTGGACTATGCACACACAGCTAGATAAATATGGAGATAGAGATATAAATAACACTTCAACAAGTACAGATGATTGAAAAGTAACACAGACTGTGGCATATATAAGGCTTTAATCTGTATCTTTACAATTAACTTCAGTGTGATATTAAGAAACTATTTGGAAAGTCATGGCCCAGCAGTTCAGTTTAAGCACAATAGTAGTGATATGGATTTCACAAGAAAAAGATGATGATGATGATGACCATGATGACTGGTAATATCTCCTGAGTGCTTACCAGTTATGAAACCCCATGTGAAGGTCCTTACATAAACGTATCCATTATGTTTTACCCACCAATGTCTCCAGTTCCCAATGAAATGCATGTTGTTCTTCCTTGCTGATAGTTTAGGCAGCTGAATTTATGACAACAAATTGTATTCCAATGCATGTAGTTAGGAATTGGAAAAACAAAATTTTGAACCAAGCTCATTTTGACTCTAGAACTCATGCAAGTACCAGCTTCCACAATGATTTTTTTGCCTACCATGCTGCAATCTGCTTTTGCTATAAGAGAGTCTTGACCTATATTTGGCGACTTGCCCTCATATATGATGGGCTTGCCCAATGCAGCTTCTTTATGAAATATTATCATTAGTGTATGAGCATCTTCATGCATAACAAAATCTTAATGCAATTACTTTGCTTATATTAAAAAGCAAAAGATGCTTTGGAAAACTAGTATATCATGAATCCTAGCCTCCAGAATTTCTGTCCAGGTCTCTTAAACCAAAGGGTTATCGTTGGTTGAATCAGGAAAATGATTGAACAAAGTTTAGAATAACTCATTTACAGTACCTCTACAACTTGTCTTCACAATCTTAAAAAAACAAATCACCAAATACCAGAGCTTTTATCAATTTCCTCTTTATACAAATGAATAAATTAAGTGAAGGCTTAATAATAATGAACAGTAGCATGATATTATATGCCTTCATCATAGATGTGTTGGAGCAAACATAGTTTAGTTCATGTGAAGCACCAGTTTGATTAAACACAAAGTACTTAATAGGGATAAGCTTTGAGAAGAAGGGGATATTTATAGATATTTCTTTCAAAGTTCAGATTATATTTAACAAAGAGATATTCAAGGGATGTATTTTTATAGGATAAAGTAAACACTAAAGATTTTAGAAGAACTGGAGAAAGAATGTACTGGGACTTGTATAGTATATAAAGGGGGCTGATCTTGCTGTTCTAAGGACAAAAGAGTCAGTGTATTATGTGCCACTACATTTTGTATTATGTGCCCCTAAAGTTTCTGAAAGGATCTCTAATTTATCTACTCCATTCAAAGCAGTCTCAGATAATCAGGAAAGTCATGTATTCTGACTTTTCTTATAGCCAGCCATTTATTTTTTCAGTACCTTATCTGATCTTCTATTTCCCTTATTTCTTCCAACTGCCTTCTAACCTAAAGTTGATATTAGCTGGGTTTTTAACGCAATAATGTATTTGTTTGTATGATTTTTGTTTGATTATTTATTTATTCACAAAGCATAATGATACTCCGATCTATTGACTGGACTTTCACATCACACGGGACCAATAAACGAGCCATGAAATCTGTAGGAGGAACTATTTCCATAAATGTCAAACCTGGTCTTTATAATGGAACATTTTTACTACCTTCTCTCGGATGTGTTTGGTCTTCACCCCATAGACAAGAGGATTGAAGAAAGGTGGAACCAGTAGGTAAAGGTTGGACAGGGTGATATGTATATATGACGGAATATAAGATCCAGACCTGTGAGTGAAAAAGGAAAAAAAAGCAAGGAGATAGAACTGGAAGAAGACACATATGTGGGGAATACATGTATTAAATGCTTTAAGACGTGCCTCTTTCTGAGGCAGGTGGAAGACAGTGATAAATATTTGTACATAGGAGAGGGCAATCAACATGAAGTCCAGGCCACCAACAATAAAAGCCCCAAGGAGACCATAGAATTTATTAATGTAAACGTCTTCAGCAGCAAGCTTCATGAGGGCCATGTGTTCACAGTAAGTGTGGGATATCAACTTGGTTCGATAAAGTTTCAGGCGACACTTTATGAGCAACAGACATGGGATGACCAGAATGGCAGGCCGCAGTGTCACTGCAACTCCAATGTGAGTGACTAGTTGTAGAGTGAATATGGTAGCATGCCTCAGAGGGTAAGATTGCTACATAGTGTTTCCCTAAGCATTTCTAAACATTTGCCTATAAATTAAGTCATAAACACCAAATATTAATCTGAGCTTTTCCCTGGCCCCCAACAACCCTAATGACTACTCAGAAATTTTAAATTTGGAATGATGTGGATATTATTCCACTATGTCACCCTCCCAAAGGAGAATTCGTTAGTAGGGAATCCTGGTAGATGACTTTATGTGTGCTTTTGCCTTTTCATGCCTGCTTGTCTGCTGTGTGATGCTCACTTTCAGAAAAATCTCTCCTCATGCAGAAGAAACAAATTTCCCCCAATGGCTGTCCCCCTTTTTGAATTACAGGTCTTCAGTATATTAGCACAAGATTCAAGTTATTCATGATCTGTTCTCCTTCAATTTAAACATCCGCAATTCTACCCACCTTGCCTGGTAGCATGTTGCTAACTTCCTTAACCTTCCTATTTTGTAACACAGATTTTCCAATATCATGAGTGCTTTTGAATTGTAGTTTCTAAACCTCAAAGTGAGATCTACCAAGAATTTATTTGTACTCTTTAATGATTAGTAATTTTGCTGTGGAGTCTATATTCATTGTACTTGTGTTTATACTTCAACTTTTAAAATTTCAAGTCCAGTTAACCTGCTACTCACTTTTTTTAAGAGTTTATTTATTTATTCATGACACACACACACACACACACACAGAAAGATAGATAGATAGAGAGAGAGAGGCAGACACACAGGCAGAGGGAGAAGCAGGCCCCATTCAGGGAGCCAGACTTGGGACTCAGTCCCAGTCTCCAGGATCACACCCCAGGCTGCAGGTGGCACCAAACCGCTGTGCCACTGGGGCTGCCCAACCTGCTACCCAGTATCTAGAAGCCCCAGTGGCAAGTGACTAGAACAGAAGTTTCCTCTTTGCTGGTCAACTTACTTAGTACCCAGAAATGGCAATGGGAAATGACTGGAGCAGGAGAAAGTTGATCTTGGCTTTTCCTAGGAGTGGATTATCTGGGTTTTCTAACATAATTTTCCTTGATGACCAAACTTCATAAGCTTCTTGCATATCGTGAGTTTTTTTTTTTTAATTCCCTGTGGCAAAGAAGGGGGGTTAGAGCCACAGAACAACCATCATTTCTCAGGACGATGCCCTTACTGAATATAGCAGGAGACCTGCTATATCTAGGGCAACCAGGAGTTGGTACTGTTGAAGCATCTTCTCTAAGTCAAACAGTGTGGTGTGTTTCACACTACCACATATGTGATTCCTTGTTCTTACTTACTTATATGATGGAGAAATGGAACACAAAATGCGGACTACATAGTATGGAACTCCAAGTCTTGCCTGAGTAAAGTGACCAGCTTTATCCCAGGCTTTTTAAGGAAAGTAAATTACTTTCACACAAATGGTAGCCTTTTCCTGTTTATCTCACTTACTTAGTCTTGGCCATCCCATGGAGATTCAGAGGATTTCCAGATGCAGTTCAGTGATCCCAGGGAGGCATGTGTTTGAGAGTTCTGGGGAGGGAGTTTGGAAGTTGCAGGGAGTTTATTGTATAGTGAGTCTCTTTTCCATCTGTTTGATGCCTGGGCTATGCCATTTGCCCTTCTTTATCTTGAGACATTCTCTCCATGCTCTCATAGCAAGCCTTTTGGAGTAAGTCCCTCATTCCTTGCATCATACATAGGGCCTATGTCAATGTGACACATATCTCAACCCATTAGCCTATACATGTGTTTTCCTATTACCCTGGACTCGGCACCTAATTAGCTGGAATACCCAGTTCAAGGGGACCCCCAAGATGGGAGTGAAGAAGCTCTTCAAAGACTATACATGCAGCACGATTTTGGGGGTAGGTCCTCTTTATACCTTCAAAAGTTGATATGTTCCTGAATCTGCAGCTTGGAATGATTTCACCTGGAAAGGGGACTAAGTGGCAACCAAAATACCAACAGATCCACGTGGGAACTTAATCAGTTGGACTCAGTAGCCTGCCTGGTCTTTGTTCATCAAGGAGGTCACAAAAACCATCTCTAGGGAGAGTGGAAGTAGATTTAGATATAATAAAATGCAGGACTCTCAAGTCCTGATCAATACCAATTGCTAATTACCCTTCTTGGGATCATGTGCTACCTGGTGCAGACATTCCACTGACTACCTGAGAGAAACCAAATGCCAGAGGCAAAAGTATACTTTACATAATACTGTGAGGTCATATGAGCAGCATGTGGTGGTTAAAAGCCAACTTTTGGAAGGAAACAGCTCTGCTCCTTCCTAGCCAGGACTCAAGCTTGGGCTGTTTGTGCTTCTGGATACTTATTTTACCTCTTCCGAGCCTCATTGCCATCATCAGTAGGATAAGAATACAACAACAGAAGCTCTTCATTGACTTCTTTTTTTTTATAAATTAATTTTTATTGGTGTTCAATTTACCAACATACAGAATAACACCCAGTGCTCATCCCGTCAAGTGTTCCCCTCAGTGCCCGCCACCCATTCACCCCCACCCCCCGCCCTCCTCCCCCTCCACCACCCCTAGTTCACTTCCCAGAGTTAGGAGTCTTTATGTTCTGTCTCCCTTTCTGATATTTCTCACACATTTCTTCTCCCTTCCCTTATATTCCCTCTCACTATTATTCATATTCCCCAAATGAATGAGAACATACACTGTTTGTCCTTCTCCGATTGACTTACTTCACTCAGCATAATACCCTCCAGTTCCATCCACGTTGAAGCAAATGGTGGGTATTTGTCATTTCTAATGGCTGAGTAATATTCCATTGTATACATAAACCACATCTTTATCCATTCATCCTTCCATGGACACCGAGGCTCCCTCCACAGTTTGGCTATTGTGGACATGGCTGCTAGAAACATCAGGGTGCAGGTGTCCCGGCGTTTCATTGCATCTGTATCTTTGGGGTAAATCCCTAACAGTGCAATTGCTGGGTCGTAGGGCAGGTCTATTTTTAATTCTTTGAGGAACCTCCACACAGTTTTCCAGAGTGGCTGCACCAGTTCACATTCCCACCAACAGTGTAAGAGGGTTCCCTTTTCTCCACATCCTCTCCAACATTTGTTGTTTCCTGCCTTGGTAATTTTCCCCATTCTCACTGGTGTGAGGTGGTATCTCATTGTGGTTCTGATCTGTATTTCCCTGATGGCAAGTGATGCAGAGCATTTTCTCATGTGCATGTTGGCCATGTCTATGTCTTCCTCTGTGAGATTTCTCTTCATGTCTTTTGGCCATTTCATGATTGGATTGTTTGTTTCTTTGCTGTTGAGTTTAAGAAGTTCTTTATAGATCTTGGAAACTAGCCCTTTATCTGATATGTTATTTGCAAATATCTTCTCCCATTCTGTAGGTTGTCTTTTAGCTTTGTTGACTGTACCCTTTGCTGTGCAAAAGCTTCTTATCTTGATGAAGTCCCAATAGTTCATTTTTGCTTTTGTTTCTTTTGCCTTCGCGGATGTATCTTGCAAGAAGTTACTGTGGCCAAGTTCAAAAAGGGTGTTGCCTGTGTTCTCCTCTAGGATTTTGATGGAATCTTGTCTCACATTTAGATCTTTCATCCATTTTGAGTTTATCTTTGTGTATGGTGCAAGAGAGTGGTCTAGTTTCATTCTTCTGCATGTGGATGTCCAATTTTCCCAGCACCATTTATTGAAGAGACTGTCTTTCTTCCAGTGGATCGTCTTTCCTCCTTTATCGAATATTAGTTGACCATAAAGTTCAGGGTCCACTTCTGGGTTCTCTATTCTGTTCCATTGATCTATGTGTCTGTTTTTGTGCCAGTACCACACTGTCTTGATGACCACAGCTTTGTAGTACAACCTATTTGCTGTCTACAAGAGACTCATTTTAGACAGAAGGACACCTACAACCTGAAAATAAAAGGTTGGAGAACCATTTACCATTCAAATGGTTCTCAAAATATACCCTAAAAACTATAGAACACTTCTGAAAGAAATTGAGGAAGACACAAAGAGATGGAAAAATATTCCATGCTCATGGATTGGCAGAATTAATATTGTGAAAATGTCAATGTTACCCAGGGCAATTTACACGTTCATTTCAATCCCTATCAAAATACCATGGACTTTCTTCAGAGACTTAGAACAAATTATTTTAAGATTTGTGTGGAATCAGAAAAGACCCCAAACAGCCAGGGGAATTTTAAAAAAGAAAACCATATCTGGGGGCATCACAATGCCAGATTTCAGGTTGTACTACAAAGCTGTGGTCATCTTCACTGACTTTTGAAGTGACTGATGCAGCTCACTGCCACTCTCCCCTGCCAGACACATGCCAGTTGATGTTCCAGGGAGCTGATTTGCTCTCCCCTCAGCCTTTCTCTCCTTTTCTCACCAGCTGAATTTGGAGCTGGTGGTCAGCAGTCAGCTGTTTTCCTCTAAATCTCAATTGATGCATGCTATGTTTGTTGTTATAATTAGATGTGTCAATTAAATATTAGGTAAATAACAACAAAGAAAGTCAATCAATGTAACTAACATTGTAAACAAAAGGAAGGAAAAAAGCCATGATTTCAATAACTTCAGAGAAAGCATATGAAAATATTCAATATCCAATTAAAGTAAAAACCATCAGAAAAGTAGGAGTAATAGGGAACTTCTTCATCTGATGAAATATATCCATGAAAAATCTAGTGAATACCGTATTTAAAAGTGTCAAACTAAAATTTCTTCTTAGATTGAGAGAGATGCCAGGATGCCTCTCTGTCAATACCTTTATTCAACAGTGTACACAGGTCCAGATTATAGCAATATTATCATATTGTATTAGTTTTGACTTCTTATTCAGATATATCACATGGTTATATCCATTAATCATCCTTTTTGTATATAATCTCTAAAATACATATGGTTTCCATTGTCTTCTCCTGGAGGGATAATGTCCTCATCAATTATTCAGTATGTACTATGATTGCCACAACTTCCTGAAACACTTAATCCCCTAAACAGAATTAAAATGTGTCAATTCCATGCTTATTATCTCATAAAAATCATGTTTTTCCTTCTCTAATATCCACCGATATGTTTCATTCCTTTTGTCATGGTATTTGCCATTTCTTACTTTGTATATATTTCATGTTCACATACATTTTACTAAATATCAAGAACAACAAGGCTCAAATTTATTTGTTTTATTCAACAAGACTTTTTCCTCCCAAAAAAATGTCCTCTACCACCTCTGCCTTTTGAATGCCTTTGTCTCTTCCATTTTCTATAGTGCTATGTTTTCTTGGGTGTTTTCTTCCTCTGACTATGTAGAAGTCCCAAACTGGACAACCAGCTGTGTCTCTCTGTATACTCATTTCTTTTTGATAATCATCTTATTGTTTCACAGTCTTGAAGGTTGAATGAATAAAATTTAACCAGATATCTGTTGTTGGAGCATCCTGATAGTGTGGAAG